GATAGGACTACTGTGTGAGTCAAGATAACTCTCCCATTAACCAGAGAAGAGACAAGCGAGGTGAAGGTGGAAGAGGATGGAAGAGTTAACCGTACCACTAGGGAAGAACTATGAAGGGATCAGAGGGGAGTGGAGGGGCCTACAATAGTTGACATAGTATTATCAAACTACGTGGGAGGAAAATAGGAGTGATGGAGTGTGCTGTAATGGAAATCCCTAGACCTTATTATTTATACAAACACCTCACCCACCCTAACTCTATGTGACTCATACCTTCACATCACCATATCCTATGACTTATAATCATGAGTCATATGAGATCCTTAGTTGACTTGTTTGAGTCAACTGCGCAACATACGTAAACCAATCATAATTCTTATAACAAGTCATGTGTGCTAAATGCATCACATACATGAAACTCGTGACTCATAAATATAAGTCATGTGTGAAAGTCATAACATCATATAACTTACAACTGGGAGTTATTACATAACAATAAACCCTTATGACTCACAAGCACAAGTTATGTAACCGGTACGGGTACTCGGTTATTGGTTTTATTTTAAGTATCGCTTTAATACTTGATTTGTTTTAAGTATCGCTTGATACTTAGATTTGTTTTATGTTTTGTTTTAAGTATCGCTTTGATACTTGGTTTGTTTTAAGTATCGCTTGATACTTGGTTTTGTTTTATGTTTTGTTTTAAGTATCGTTTTGATACTTAAGGAGTTTTACCAAAGAGTATCAATTGATACCTTTGATTAGTTTCGTTCATGCTAGACATGAACAGATTTGTGTATTTAAAGACCGCCTGTTTCTATGATAGAAAAGGCAGACTTCGACAGACAGTATTTCAATATACTTGGTTGAACGGTTACTTATTTGTTCCTCAGTACACCCTCGAAGCCTCCTTTAGTTCTCAGCTCTTGCCTCCTCTCTGGAAGAGCAGGCCACCTGCCAACTATCGTACCTTTACCGATAACGTGATTAGCACCTTGCGAACACATTACATTTTTTTAACCTCAGCAAGTGGTTAAGAACCTGTCCCGGATTTAGGCCTGATCAACCTATCGATATCCACCTCAGAACGCTAGCGGAGAGAAGTGGCAGAATCACAGCACATTCGGCTTCATCTCAAACCCAAGATAGAGTCTTTGACGACCAGGAGTGGGAAGCAAATCCCACGGCAAGACCTTACAAGAAAGAAACAACCCCAGCGCTCTGCTAAAGAGCTGGGCTATCCTGCAAACACGGAAGATACACAACCTCCAGGAGAATTCCCTTCTACTCCAGCAAAGAAGCCTTCCTTTGAACCTCCGATTGACCCCGAATCCAGTAGTGAATCAGATATGGCTAGCACAGGAGGAGGGCCTTCTGGAGGAGGGAAATCTCAGGCAAGGCCTGAAGAAGAGGAGGTACCCGCAGCGTTTAAACCCCCCAAGTTTAAACTCCACCTCCCAGCGAAATTCACAGGAGAAGGAAAAGACCTCAAACCTGAAGCTTTTGACCGATGGGCGACGGAACTCTCACACTTCCTACTCTTAGAAGGAAATGATGTGGAAGACCCTACAACCGGACTTATCATTGGATCATTTTGCGAAGGAAAGGCAACCGACGCATACCACCAATGCTATAAGGATTTCGGCGGAAATGTAAGATTAAGAAGAACTACAGTTCTCGATTACCTGAAAGGACGATTCCAACCCTCTATAACCAACGACCTCCTATACAACAAATTCAACCAGCTCCTGCAAGTTAATGGAACACA